ATAAGATAAAAGATGGTAAATCATTAAAATATTATTCTAAAATAAGAATAATTAAATTTCCTATTTTTTTAGAAAAAATAAAAACGCTAAGAATAATTATAAAAGATGAATAGTAATGACAACAAATTTTAGAGGGATAATTTAAAAAAAAGAATAATAATTGAACTTACTTGATAATGAATAAGAATAACAATAAGAAGCATCTAATTAATAACCTTTATCTTTAAAAGATGATACCCCAATCACATATTATATTAGCTTGAAGATGTTTTGGATAGTGATTATGTCTAGAGCCTAGGTAAAATAATAAGTGTTCAACGAAGAACAAGCCTTAGAAGTCAATTTTAAACTGAAATCTAAGCTATTTGAATAAGATAACAATTCAAATTTACATTAAAACTATTCGGACATAAATGGTAATGGAAAAGTGATGATAATAACTTTGAAAATTATCCTTTGGATATTAATTTGTAAATAGATAAGGGACATGCATCATTTAAATAAAGTTAATTACCTCTTTACCTAGTACTCATTTTGGAGATTCTATAATATATGAGTTATCTTCTGGTAAAAAAATTAAATTAAAAGCCAAGAATATTAACAATAATAAAAGATATTTTATCAATGACGAATAAGTTAAAGATTATTTAAATGATTATTTGAAAATTTAAGCAAAATAAAAATTTTTAATTTAAAATTTTTGTGGAAGAATCAAGCTGTTGTTTATACGAGCAAAGGAGCTTACTAGATTAATAGAATTACAAATTATAAAAGAGAAATATAAAAATTCCCTTTAATACTAAGAATAACATTTTAGTAGATTAGAATTATAGTATCAAAACTAATATTAATTAAAAAATTGAAAATACTAATTCATTTTTAATCTAATCAATTGATCGAATACTAAATGAAAAAGTTTTGAAAAAGATTAAAAAAAAATTTTAAAACAATTTATTAATTACAAATATAAATTTGTTACATATAGACATAGAGGAGATTGAGATTTTGAAAAATTCTCAAATTTTTTAATTCAGATACTTAATGAAGGATAAATAAACTTGTATAAGCTAAAATTTAATTGCTAGATTATTTTGATCTTCTTTGCAATATTCCATCTCTAAAGAAAATCTTAAAAATGGCATTATCAAACAATAAAAATTAAACAATCTCATTCAAAAATTCCTTATTTCTACATTTTTATCTCTGAAGTATGAAAGAAAAACCTCAAACTTAGTAAATAAGACTACTTTTTTGAAAGAATTTCTTTAAAAAAAATACATATAAAATGAATAATTTAAATACTTATAAAAAAAAGAATTGCCAAGAACCTCGAAAAGTTAATTTATAACATCTAATAATTTTGATGAAGTACTTTTATGAACAACATTATTTCTATATCACTTTTACTCTGAAAAACAATTAAAAAAATAAAAGATAAAATCAATGATATTTATAACATTAAAATTCATTAATATTTAATTTCATCCATACATTTACACTTAGTATGGCGAGGTTATATATTTGATAGGAGTGATACCTCAAACTAGTTATTGTGATTGTTATTCCTTCAATCAGTAATTCTAATTTAGATTTAGTTTTTTTCAGAATTAAAAACAAATGGAAGATTCAATCTGATTAAATAGGGTAGGATGAATCTTACCTTGTAGATCATGCGAATATTTTGAAATAACTTGCAATTTTAAATATCATAATTAAAATGGATATTTATTTAGTCAAAATAGGAGAGAGTATAATAGCCAGTCTTTATTAATTCAAAAATAATACAGGATTATAAATAGTTTCATATTTTTTATCCTGTTTGAACATCCATAATCTGATTGAACAATCATGACTACCAGATGCTAAAGTAGGAAGCATACTAATTATACATAACTACTATGACCATCTAATTTGGCTTTTTATTATCCTGTTTTCATAATCTGATTGAGTCATATCTAATACTAGAAGTTATAGTTCTTTTGATGACATCACAGAACTTTGCCATACTTAATTAATATATAAATAATAAAATTTTAATTTATATTCAAAATCTTTGATAATGACAATATTTTTTCATAAAATTTCTCTTATATTCTTTTTAATGCTCAATCTACTTATTTTTTATGATTCTTCCATTACATTTGTTCTAGACACCCTAAATGTTTATCTCACCGAATTAATTATTTGTATCATTTTTCATTAAATATTTATTTATTCTATATTCTTTTATATTCAAACATTGCAAACGTATCTTTATATATGATTTTTTATTATCAATTTTACATCTATACCCATCTAATACTAATTTTTTAAATATTTGGTCTTTATCTTAACTATATACATAAGATATTTTTGATTCATAATTTAAAACTTAAATAAAAGTAATAGAAATTCAATAATTAAATTAAAAAAAATATGAAATGCACTTTTCATGTTGAAAATCAAGTATCGTTAATTTGCATTGACCCTCATAAATGTTAATGTTAAAGAAAGCTATGTGTTGAATGCCAATATGAACATGGAGTAGATATTAAATATACAATTCCAACAAAAATATTTCGAGAGATGATTAACAAGAAACTAAAAGGATCAAAACTTGAAGAGACCTATGAATTAATAGAATAGAGAATGGCTTTTAAATCTGTACTCTCTCAAACCCAAAGTATGCTCAAGTCAATCTGGGAAGAATTCTCAAAATCAATCAAATTAATATATGATATGATTGAATTAGAAAACAAATCATTTATTAGCCTTATTAAAGAAAATGAGAATCCAGCAGAATTCTCTTATGCTCAATTAGAAAATTTAGTCTCAATCTTGAACAGAACAACACTAAAAGATTTGAATGATTGGAATAATTCTTGGGTAGTAGAGTTGGAAAAGATAAAGGTGAAGTGGGAATTAGAAATTAATGGTTTTTTCAACAGATCAAATGAAGAAACAAAAAAAATTTAAAAATTAATTAAGTAAGAATTTTAGACTAAATATAGGATTGAACCTTTTTAAGTAAAAGGAGAAGTTTATGTTAAAAAAGAAAATCTTACAGAAATTTTAGCCTAAATAGAAGATATTGATAAATCCATATTGAAAGATATTTGCAGTGTACTTAAAAAAGAGAAAATTTAACATATCTACGAATTTCTTACAAAGACTTTTAATCTGAAACTTTACGAATAGTTTATTGATATGGAAAAGGATGTAAGTGAAGTAAAAAAGTACATTTAGAAAATTTCTAATGTATTAAGTGATATTCAGGATCATCCCTTTAATTAATATGATTATTCTATAGAAAAGTATAAAGTAGGAAGATCAGATTTAATCAGTAAAATAAGAGGGAATAGCAATATCATTGAATTTCTTAAATTTTTAGTTTAACTAACTAGTGTAGACGATAAATTCATATAAAGTGGATCCAATGCACTAAATTTATTGGTAGAGATGAAAGAAGATCTTAGTAATCAATGCTTCGAAGACATCAGAATAAGGAATACGAATTTGATTGGAGCTAATTTTGTAAGATGTAACTTTAATGGATCTGAATTCGAGAATGTAGAATTGAGTGGAGTCAATCTTAATGGAGCACTACTATTTAATTGTAATTGGAAGTAGATTAAGGTCCATGAATTAAATTATTTGAAAGGACATGAAGGCCCAGTCTCATA